AATATAAAGTCTTCTTTCTCGTCTGAAACTTCTTCGATATGTTATGGAGGGCTCACGATGAGCGAGTTGATTACGAGTTGACGTAGGTATAATTCACTTAACGGGGAGCTAGCTAGCTTCGTTATTCACCAGCCACACACGTCGAGTTTTCCACGATGAGTTTATATGCTTCGTAAAAATCCACTTCGAGAATCCACTGAAGTTAAATTATTTTTAATGTTCGAACTTTGTAAAGGCTTCTGGTCAAATATCTAACGTTTTCCTATTGATAAGCGTTATGACAATCACAGTTATAGCTTCTGGAGTTTATAGCACACAGACCATAGCAAACTAATAATAGATACTCTCCTTTCGGCACATCACGTTGGTTATATTTATAGCCGTGTGAAGGTTTTCTAGAAAATTCAGCTTACGTAACAATACAATTTTAAGCGTTTACGTACATACATATATTGTTGATTCTTACTCTCGAGAATCTTCTACAACTTTGGAGAATAGGCGGGAGTTTTGCAATGCATATATAACAGTATAAGCGATGTATGTTTCTAAATATAAATTTAATTCAAACAAACGTCAATATTAAACAAATATATAATAATAAATTCGTTACACATTTAGTTCTTGACACTGATAATTTGAAAAAGCATTGTAGTGAAGTATTAATTTAAGTTTTGTTTGTTTTGAATTTCCCGCAAAGCTACACGAGGGCTATCTGCGCTAGCCATCCCTAATTTAGCAGTGTAAGACTAGAGGGAAGGTAGCTAGTCATCACCACCCACCGCCAACTCCTGGACTACTCTTTTACCAACGAATAGTGGGATTGACCGTCACATCATAATGCTCCCACGGCTGAAAGGGCGAGCATGTTTGATGGGACGGGGATTTGAACCCGCGACCCTGAGATTGCGAGTCGAATGCCCCAACCACCTGGCCATGCCGGGCCATTAATTTAAGACAATGCTAGTAATATAGATAATAAATTAAAGACAAGACTGTCAAACTTTGTAACAAACCGTTGGTAAAACTTTTTTTATCAAGACACATATTTTATTGACTACTATGATGAGATACGCACCACTAATTATAATCCTGTTGTATGAGTTTTTATTGGTTGTGTTGCATGGGTTTATTCTGTGAAAATTTTAAGCTTATGGGAGCACACATTTAAGAAAAATAATTGATTGGTAATAAATACCGATTTAGAATCTTCCTCTACTTCCTCCTTCTATATTTTCAAAGAAAAAGGAATGAAACAGGGCTTCCTCGTGATGATTATTGTTATTTTCACGTCTTTGTATTATAGACCATTACAATTTTACATCACTGTATCGCTCTTTCGCGTATTCTTTGCCTTTTTAATCAATGATTATGTAGTCATCCTCCGGCTGAACTTTGTAGTTAAGAAAATGTAGTCGTAATTAAAAGTGCGACATTTATAAATAACGAACAAGAGAGTAACAAAGTCGTTATGCACATTATAGCCCAACTTTTCACGCTTGCTGTCTTAAAATAAATAATTATTTGGATGAAAATATTCTACATATAGATTATCTATTGTCCCTCTTGAAAAAAATATTGTAAATTATACGTTCGTCACAAATTTTAAGAGATACCTCGGAGTACATGGTTGTGGTAGAATTCAAACTGTTTTCGTTAAATCAAAATCGTGGCAGGAATTTTGGTATTCACCTCGGGGGATTACCAGGTGTGCTTAGAAGCTTCTGCTTTTCTTCGCTCCACTCGTGATGGTGGTGTGGATTCCAGTGGGTTGAGCTTGATAGATGTTATGTTGACAGGATATGTTTGAGAGTATCTAAATAAGCACTCGAGGGAGCCATGAAGAGTTGAGACAAAGACAAAAAAGTGGGGGAGATCGAGACTTGACAAATTCAAATTCAGGGCGGCGGGGATCTATAAATCCAATGCCGGAGAAATTTGCAGTGGGGGGAAACGGGAGTGCCCCGAGAAACCCACTTTCACGGAACGATCGCTGAAAATCTGTTTTCGTGTGGACTATAAACATGGTGAATGCAGTGACGGTTTGCAATAAAAATTGTTTTTCGACTGTGGTGCACATTTCCAAAACTTATTTGACATTCGAGTACTATTTATAGGTTTATTTAGTCCCTATTAGTAAACATATTATTATTTTTTATTAAGGAATACTCTTCAGGCTCGATTTTTTTGAAAAATAAGTGTTATTATTATTAATATTTGACATTATATTACACATCTATAGTATCTATTTTCCCACCATAATTAATTTGTAAGAGCGACTTCTGGCTACATGTACATGGTTTGATGGAATGAACTTTGTTTTCGTATAGAGACAGTTACGTAGCCACCCAGTAACACAGTGGTATGTCTGCGAACTTACAGTGCTAGAAAGCGGGTTTCGATACCCGTGGTGGGCAGAACCCAGATAGTTCTTTGTGTAGCTTTGTGCTTAACAAAAACTAATTTCTAAAAACGAATTTGACATCAAAATATTTTTGTTTGGTGTATTTAGTCCCCTTTCTCAAATTTTGGTGAATTTTTTTAAAACTAGAAGTTTTTTATATCAACCTTCGGGTTATCCTTTCCTTCAGAAAATAATGGGTGAAAGGGCACATGCGAGTGACAACAAACATGCACTTTCAAAAAAAACGAGTGTGAAAAGAGAGATAACCATTTAAGTTGGTATTACAAATGTATAGTATTTACTCTCCCCCTGTGAAAGTTATGTTAATTTTAAATCTGTAATAAATTTTTAAGAGCCACCTCCGGGTATATAGTTTTGATGGAATATACACTATTTTTGTATATAGTTACGTTATCATGGTGCAATAAAGAGCTGCAGTACACTTTGTCTTGCAACCGTCGTGCGTATTTCTAATAACTAATTTGGTATCAGAAAACCATTCTTAGGTTAATTCAATCCCAATTTTGGTGACTTTTGTTCAAGCAATAAAATTTGTATCTCAACTCATTGACAAAAATAGTATTTACGTTTACCCGGAGAATGGTCTTATAATAATATATGTTGTTACGTCTCTGTTCGTTTGTTAATTTCCCGT